GCACGCCCTGCAGAATAACGAAAGTTACATTTTGAAATCAAATCCATTAAATGACGTACCGAGACCTCTGGTCTAGGGTAGTACCAGGTTTGAGGCTCGCGAACATCGTCATTGGGTTCAAGGTTAGCAGGCGCACTTGGAGGTCTTCCCTGCAAGTTGATCTAATCGTAAGGTCGATATGTTGTTGAATCCACTCAACAGTAGTACTCACAGGTACGGGAGGAGGAATATTAGTAGACGGACGACGTATAGGTGCGGGATCGGAAAAACCTCCGGGTGGTGGTACTATTGGCCCAATGTGTTGCTGAGTACGTGGCCCAGGTGGATCAGAAAATGCAGCCTCAGTCTCAGTTGCGGCTGGGTGGCGCGGTCGTCGAGTACGACGGAGTATAGGTGGGTGTTGAATCTCAGGTGAGAACACCACTGGCTCTGTGGCAATCGGGTACGTGGCAGGCCGGTGTATGGGACTGGTACTCCTTGACCTCGGAGGGCGTACCGCAGGTTGGTAAGCGAAGGGGATTAATGCTGGAGGCGGTTGGACGCCTATAGGCACTTGAGGCGGGGGTGCCTGCAATAATGCAAGTAACTCATCATCAAGATTTCCACGAGCTCTGCGTGGTTGGGGTGCAGCAAGAGGCACGCGGTCCCTCAGGAGCCGCGTCCAGTCCTGCCAGCGCTGCTGGAAATCCTCTGCGTCTACATCTGTGGTGACATCAGAAATAGACTCTGATGGGGGCTGGATGTGGACTGGTCTTTCAGTCTCAACCTGTCTATCGATGAGTTGACGCAAAAGAACCTCGATGGCCTGAAACCGGTCATTGAACTCCATGGTGTCCAGGGGACCTGAGCGTGTCTCGCGCAACTCGTCCAGCATATGGTTTGTTGACACCTGGCCCTCCCAAAGTGCAGTCGTCTGCTCTCTCAGTGAGGTCAGCATGTCTCTCAGCGTCTCAATCGTAATGCTATCGCGCTGCCGTACAGTGGTGGCTGACGCCGTTGAAGGTGTAGGTGACGAGGGTGGAGGTGTAGGTGACGATGGTGGAGGTGTCGGTGATGACGGTGGAGGTGTCGGTGATGATGAAGACGTCGCCGACAAGCTGGGACCAGGGGATGGCTCGCTGGAAGAAATTTCAGATGGCGAGATCGAGGACGAAGATGAGGATGACGAGGAGGGCCAAGATGGCTCCCTAGAGATCGAATATGAGCGTTCCACGGTCTCCGCTTCCAATTCCGTTTCCAACAGACTCAAGTCATCATCCGAGTGATGCGAAGACAAGAACGACGGGACTGAATTGAGCGAACTCGGGGAGGAGGGGTGCATAGGGGGTGGGGACATCTCGACAAGGGTGATACCCGGCCTCGGGCGTGGTCCTCTTGGCGTCGAGAGCACACTGCTGCCCCCGACAGATGTGTCTCTAGTTGGCACAGGGGGTGGCCTCTCCGCGACGAGCCTCGTACGAACGTACTCCGATAAATCATACAGTTCGTCTCGGATAGCACGCACATTCTCTGAGATTTCCTGGGTTTCCTGGCCACGGAACTGGTCAAGCTCTTGGATATGGTGAAGAAGACGGTCGATATCGTGCGTGATAGTGTGTTCAGTGTGCGTGCGCGTGTGCTCCGTCTCGAGGACAGAATGGATGGAAGGAACATTATCGTGCGGTGTTGTCATACTCACACTCATCGACACCGAAGTAGGGGCAGGGGACACCGGGAGAGGCACGGTCCGCGGGGACGGCATTGGCATCTACAGCAAATCACATCAGCATTTCAACTAAAACGCGATAAAGAACTACCCACATATCGCACCGACTCTTCTCTTCTCGTCGACAGTAAGGATGGTACTGTCGAAATGTCACTAGCGGCTCTTACGCTCACTGCATCTTCCTCCTCCGCCTCAATCGCAATACTCGACACACCACTCACGCTGGACGCGGTCCTTGACAGCGAACTCGATGCGCTTGTCGACATCGTCAAAGGAGTCGGTCCACTGGATGGCGAAGACACTAATTCAAGTGGGTGGAATATCTGTCTAGGAGACGGTGTGAGGGAAGAAATAGTCTCCGTGATAGGTGTTAGCCTCGCAATACTGCTCAGCGGCGATACACTCGGGCGCATAAATGATGTCTCAAAGCTCCCATCGATACCCTCCTGCAATGCGGCGCTCTGTATACTAGGGGTGGGCTGCAGTGCAGACGAATCAAATGACACGTCCGTCTCAGAAGGCCATTGAGATGGGTGCACAGATGGCGTGACTGCCTCTTCGTCATGGTCAGATATGGAGAGAACTGGAGTCTGGATTGTCCGAGGTGTCGCGACAACGAAGGGCTCGGTTGACTCTGTCAAACTCGAGACAGATGTGTCAAGTTCTGGCTGTGCGGGACTCAGATCACTCTCGGTGTAAGAAAATGACGAGTCGGTATGGAAACTGACGACGGGGGTCAGTGTCTCGGGCGTCCGAGCGGTAGACGGGGCGCTCTCCAGCAGGCTGTCCTCCTCCGCGATCTCTTCCTGTGCAGTGACAGCCTCAGGCGTGATCGACACCTCCAGCATTGGTTCCTCAGAGATGATACTGGGAACTTCGCTCGGTGCCTTTGGCGGGGGTGTGGGCGATAGATCCACTTCCACTTCCTCTTCCTCGTGCAAGTCAATGGGCACGTCCGTGGGCACGTCGATGGGCACGTCGATGGGTATGTCAATGGGCACCTCAATGGGCACGTCAGCGGGCAGGTTAATGGGCACGTCAGCGGGCACGTTAATGGGCACGTCAGCGGGCAGGTCAATGGGCGCTCCAATGGGCACGTCCATAGGCGCTTCGATGGGCACGTCAATGGGCGTTTCAATAGGCAGGTTAATAGGCCCTTCGATGGGTGCTTCAATGGGTGCTTCAATGGGCTCGTCCATGAGCTCGTCCATAGGCAGGTCAATGGGCGCTTCAATGGGCGCTTCAATGAGTTCGTCAATAGGCTCGTCAATGAGTTCCTCAGCAGAAAGCTCCATAATCAATCCCGACCTCGGCGTGTTCAACCCCTCCTCGCTCGGGATCGTAAGACATACGCTCGCCGTCTCATACTGCGTCTCCTCCTTGTCGCTCTTGCACACTTCCGCTGTCCAGAAATCCGTTTCGGTCTCGGTCTTGCACTTCTCCGCTGTCACATACTCTGTCTCCACGTCACTTAAGCACCGCTCTGCAGTTACGAACTCCGTGCTCACGCAAGTCTTGCACGTGTCCAATGTCTGGTAGTCTGACTCGCTTGGGATCGTTGGAAGGCTCTTAAATGATGCAGTGCTCGGGCTGGGCGACGCATGGGCTGTGGCGTACCCCTCACTCCCACTGCTCTCCCTCTCCTCCACAGCTAAAAATCCCTCCGTTGTCGTTGTGGGCGTCCTACTCCTCGTCCACCCGCTCAGTGTCGACCTTGTCGTTGCAGAATACTCCCTATCAGATGGGTCCTCGCTCGTAGAGTATGCACCATACCGCCGTCTCCGAACCTCAGGGGTACGAGATAAGGATGGCGAGGTAGAGGTGGGGGGGTAACTGCTACTCGTGTACGTGTAGGGCGTGCTGCTTGTGTATCCGCTGGACGAGTAAGAGTACGGCGTTCTCGACCGGCTGTCACTTGACGAGAATGGTGTTCGCGAACGCCCATCGCTGTATGTATATGGTGTATAGCTCCCACTGCCGTCATGCGAGTCCCCCAGGTAAGAATTACTCTCCGTGCGTCTGTAGCTTAGCGTGCTCGGCACGATCTGCGTGTTTGACTCGCCACTCGTGAACTCAAACGCTGTCCCATCCGTCACTAGCCCTGTCGTTGTCCGGCCATCGCCACTCCTGCTTGTCCTAGAGCTGTCTGCTGAGAAAAAGTCTGATTCGGAACGAGAGCCTGGCACGCTGGATGTGCGTGAGCCGGCGCTGAAGAATTCCTCCTCACTGACACTGAGAGCTCGGTTCCTTGTTTTCCCAGTGGGAGGCGGGGTGACACGAACATCGCCCCCCAATCTTGGGCCACTGCTGACCGTCACAGGGCTTCCCTCACCCACGCCCAGTATTCCACCACTCTCTGAACTCAAACTTTCGTTGACCAAGCTCAAGCCAAAGCCTAGACCAGGTTTGGCAGAACGAGCACGCGACACAGCACTAGCAAACTCCTCGTCCAGGTCTGTGAGAGATGACGTGCGGCGCAAGGATGAAGATCGAGATGGAGCGATGACACGCGGGTCAGAGGGGTAAAGGTACGACGAATCATCCGTAGTGCGCCCATGGCCGCCCACACTGGGCACCCTACTGGTACTCAGACTCAACCCTCCGGAAGCACTCCCCAAATCTGACAAGCTCGGGATCGTATGCAGCGGAGGTACAAAGACAGTACTCCTGCTCCCAGCAGACGTGGATGTGGAAGAGGCTATGGAGTGAATAGTGCCTATGCTGCCTGTGGGCGAACCAGATTGGGAGCGATTGGGGAGAGACAAGGAACGGTCAAGTGCTTCCCTGTGTACATATCATCATGTAGGTTAAGTAGACACTTGTCAGAATGATTCAAATTTAAGTGTGACACGAATCACTCACCAAATCGCACTCACCCACCTCACCCTTTCCCTCGCACTCTCTGCCGCAAGTCGCTCAACGCCATCACCATACAACAACTGGAACGGACACAATACTTCCACGAGACTCACGCCATCCTCGGTCATCTGAGGATATGTTCTATCTCAGCGCTCACCGTCCCATCATCAACTCGCCAGTGCACGTACCTGCGCTACTGCACTCACTCCCCCGACATCGCCCCTTGCTCCAGGGTGCGTAAAGCCAGGGGTACTCCTCACTTCTGTACAATTGATCAGATCTAAGCTCACTACGCCCCGACCACCCCCAGGGGCACTCCAGGAAAGGATAAGCACGTGCGGGTAGAGCAGTGCGGAACATTTTTGCCAGCGGTAAGGTGTTGAAGAATGCACATTGAGATACCAGAGAGTACCAATGCGGATAGGCTGTGTGTGGGGTCAGATGTGAACTTGAAACCAAAAATAGAATGAGGCACACCTCCCGGTTTTCTTTCCCCCCCAGATCTGTCATATCAAAAGGCGGGGGTATGAGGCTACTCGTGGAGCTCACTCTCCTCTTCATGAGATTGTTCCCACTGCTAGTGATTCCTTCGTTTTCCCTGTTTCTGTTGCTGCCTCCTGCATTACCCTTCCCACCATTCCTATCAGGCGTCACCGGCGGCTGTCCCCGCGGCCCATGACGCGATGCGCGTCTACGAAGAGAGAACAAACCCTCCATCTAAACCCCTTAGCACGGTTATACGCCAACTTGCAAAATTATACATACCTTTGATGCACCAGGCGGAGATAGCTCGCTCCCGCCTTCGCTGCTCTCACTTTTCACTTTCCCTAGCCCTGGTGTGCGTTCCTTCCACGCAGCTACGATGTTTCGTACGCTCGTTAACGGGCTCCTGGGACTCGTGTTAGTGTCGTTCAGAGGAACGGTGCTGCGACGGAGGGTGGTCTGAGGCTGGCGTGTGGGTGTAGTATCGTCTTGTCTACCTGGATCGAGAAAAGTGTCAACACGTAGTAAAGGAGTAAAGGTAAAGGCAGAAGGGGTGATGACACACGGACCTCTAGCAACCCCGAATGCACTTGAAAACGTACTTGCAAAATCGCTCGGGCTTAGCTGTGTCCTCCCTGTCGCTGTTGCTGTCCCACTGCCACTATACGTCCCGGTTGGGGTGCTAAACCCGCGCACTGGTGGACTTAACAAAGTCGACAAGCTCAGATCAGTCCCACCTCCACCTGAAGAAGTCGAGACGGTGGAACGCGAATCATCGGATCTGCTTTTAGCGGCAGAGGATAGGTGGGATGTGGTATAGCCACCTGTTCCTGTGGTATATCCGTACCCAGTCGAAGTGAATCCCGTAGTATAGCCGTATCCAGTTGAGGTGTACCCCGTGGTACTCCCTAAATGAGGCGTACTCTGGGTTGTAGGTAAAAATGGGCTTGTGATTCTCTCCTTTTCTTTTCCGGGGGTACCTGCGCGGTCCTCGAAGAATGCAATAAGGTCGCCCGTGCGACGGCTAGTTGTGGGAATATCTGTGGCACCGCGTGTGTGCCCTTGAGAGTGCGTGCTGAGTCTGTTCGCATTTGCAGGAGGGTCAATAGCTGATCGAACGTGCGGACTGGAAATTGTGCTTAGGCGGTGTGCAGAAAGACGGTTCTGGGCAAAGGAAGTTGGTCGGCTGGGGTGCTCTGTGCGTTCTGAGATGGTACTCAGGACGCGAGGGTCACGTGTGAAATAAGTTCCTGTTGCTGTTGCAGTGTCCGCGGAGTACGAAGCGGAAGTGCCAGTGTAGGACCCTGTACCACTGTAGGGAGTAGACGTACTAAAAGACGTGTAGGATGGCCGGGAAGAGGACCATTGGGAGACAGCATCCTGGGTAGAATTAATCTCAGCGTCAAGGTCGAGTTCGGTGAGAACTGCTTCGACTTCAGCGCGTTCTGCGAAACTGTCGTCGTAACCGTGACCTTCGAAGCTGGTTTCAGAGCGAGGAGGACTGAATGCAACGCGTCGGAGGAGGCCTGGGGAGGCGGATGACTCTGTGGATGCGCGGTGGGTATCTATGTGTAAATTTTTGGTGAATTCGATATTTATAAGAACAGCTAACATGCCACCGACCGGAATCAGAGTTACTCGAGATAGACGAATACGTCGTTGTACCATGATAACCTGGTGAGCGCGGGTCGAAGCTCGACATCGCCCGCGTCTGTTCTGTCAATTGTCAGTTCGCGATCGTTGTTGTTACTGTGAAATAGTCAATAGAAGCCCATTAGGTATTTAGAAAGCACGATACATCCTCAAGCTTCAACAATCGAATCGTTGAACCAACATGAATTCAGGGCAGGCACAGTCGCGACCGTGTTTGGTCACGTGCGTGAAAGTTTCCGCAATCATCAAAGCCCCAACAACTCGAGTATGTAGCTGTTTTCAAGCTGCAAGTCGATTCCCCATCACTGTCAAGCCCTTTATGGCGGCTCGCGAGTCTTGGTACTCTTTTGTAATTTGCGCCGAATCGCACTAGTGCCACCAATACTATCTCTTCCACTGTCTCAGACTCGCAGCTTTATGATAACTGCTGTAGTACGAATAACGACTAGCAGAGGCAAAGCAGGGGGACATATTTTACTCCCTTAATCTAGTCCCAGCGTTTTGCGTGCAAATATACAAAGAATCTGCAGACAGGGGACTACTTCTGTGTTCATGGGGAACTACGAGCGGTCATTGTAGTTGTTCAGCGATCGCCGTATTGTCTGTTGACCATTGGATTGGAGCCACGCCTACAAACCTATTGGCGCTTGGGAAAGTGACGTTCTACGCTCCAAGAGAGGTTTTGTTTACATGACATATTCTTAGTACTTGCAATGTCTGTAACCATGTATACATGGCAGGGGTAAGTTTGCACGCAAGACATTAATCAGAATATTGACCATACGTCATACACGTAGTATCCATCTATATATAGTTTTCCTCGGCGCTCGCCACTCTTTATTAACTCTGCGGTTGACAACGTCCAAGGACACTCGAATAAGCACAATCAGCAGAGACCCAACCTAAGCAACTGTCATTAATGGACAACTTGGTGCCACTAACAGTTATGTGCAACTCGTCATGATTCTATATGAAACGCTCGCTTGCTGCCGCCTTGCCCATCCCACCGTATAACTATCAGCTCACCCTGCACTGCATGTGGCAGTTGTTACCGTGTATACCTTTCCATCCGCAAAAGATTCAAAGCTGTTGAGCACCACCGTGATCTTGCAGGCTATCTCCACCGTCGCAACATGCTGCCAGGCACCAGTCGAGCCCCAACATCATATACTCTGCCCTACCTCTCTGTCGTCACAAGCGGCCGACTCTGCCATGACATCACCCTGTTCCAAAGCCAAAATCTGTCACTCTGCCAGCTCCCGAATCTTGGTGTTTGCACAAAAAATTCCAGGTAGGCATTGATTTTGCTTCGATGTTGGCTTGGTAACCCTACGATCAGAAGTAAGCATGTAGGACTATCGCACATGGTGATACATCATGCATTCATAGTACCCCTAACTCGCATTAGCTTGAGCAGTTCGCATCTGGAATATATGCATTGCTTTGAACAACATGCACAGGATATTTCTGCAGAGCCATATGCACTCAGACAGTAAGTAGTCACAGGCCCTATTTAATATGGGAATGCAAGCGCGAAAACCACGGTAATCCAGGTCGATACGGCGTCAGGAAACTTAGTGTCACGCAACGGATTAGCAACATTCGGTAGACAGATTTATCTAGCTCACCTGGTACACCATGATACCAGCGTCTGGAAATTTGTATGGTGAGTCCCTGCTGACAAGCACATAAGATATGGACGCACTTCATCCTTGTCGAGCAGCGTCGCCCACACACTGAGCAAGTGAGGAGGGATCCATATAACCATTGCTCGCATCCACATCTGTGGCTGGCTTGCCGATCACCAATTTGTCTAAAGGTATTCCTGCTGCTGCAATCTGGAAGAGCGCAGTATTTGGCTGCATTGGAGATGATGCTGTGAGGAGGCCATAACACGTGGTGTACTCGGACGTCCCCTCTGTCTAGCTGATCAATGACAAGCAAAAGCACAGGACGACATGGCTCACGATTGTAGAACTATGAAAAATCCGGAAAGCTATATTGGTATCATGAAACTATCCCTTGTTGAGAAATACTTGCCTGAATGTTGTACTGTAGTGAATGAGTGAGTTCACGATAAACTTACTCGATCTTCCAACTTACTCAATCGATCAACGATCCAACATTCTGATGGACCGTCAAATAAGCACCGCTGGCGTATCGTGTGGAAAACCTGTACATAGGAAGATCAAACCAGTCTACACGAATAAGAAAAGTTTTAAATTACCATGGAGCAACAGCTGATACAGGTCAAGAAGCGAGTCGAATCTAATCACTGAATTTCGAGGCAGACTCACGTGCATGGGTTAAAATGTATTGACCTACGGATGCGATCAGTGTGTTCTCTTGACCTACGATGCTAATAGCAAACATACCTTGCGGAAGTCTTGCACGAAGGGCTGTTGTGAAAGTGGTCAACCAATTTTCTGCTGATCCATTCTCGGCATCCATGGCGTATATATCCTATTGTAAATCCAGCGTTCAGATGTAAACTGATTCGTATCAAAAGATACCTACTTCATAATCGACGTCGACACCGTCGAGATCATATTCCAATACATAGTCTGCTAGACTATTAGCGAGAATCGTAGGGTCATACCCGTCGGTCGTAGGGACATCCGTGGAGCCAAAAGCGGATACGATAAGAGAAATTCCTGCATTCTCGTATGATGCCTTGATAGATGCTCGTGTGGTATCATCAAGCAATGTCCACTCTTCAGCTTGATCGGTTGGACCGGAGACAAGCCAGAACGAGAGAGCACTGAAGAAAATGAGATTATGAAACACCCGTGTTTGTCCCCAAGGCTCACAAGACATTGCACCCCTGGTTCCCGATAACAAGGAAACAATCAATACGTGCTAATGAAACATTGGCGGATACATACTGAGATCATACTGACGTCCGGAGGGCCAATCTCACCAGAAACCCACTTGTCGCTATATATGACGAAGTGAGGGGCTGCAGGCATTGCACGAGTCGAAATTGACATGTTCATGAAAGGCATGGACAACACCCCGCCTATGGCTGCCAAGACGCTGCCAAGGCTCGATAGCATGATGAACCACGGGAGGTGGTGATAAATCAGCCATCGGTAGGGATTTATATCTTACGCTACAACCTCATTCGAAGCTTGGTGTATCATGATGTGATCTCAATGACAACACGGGATGGATCTGATCGAAATCAGCAGACACATATTTCTGCTGTCAAGAAGGATTAATACCATGCTCTTCCGAGATCCCCTGTTTATGGCAGGACGAGTGGCGTGCAAAAGCAACAGATCAAATAATCACGAGGGATTGAAGAATCGTTGGCTGTGATTTTGCAAAAATAAAAATATCTAATTAGTGAAATCAACACTCAATTAAAGAACACTTAAACTTAAGGTTGTAGACTCACGGCAGTTCTGTACCTATCAGTGTGGAAATGGACAGCGAAAGAGCTCGGAAGGGCAAGATATCGAATAGTACTGCCAGCTGGCAGCTGTACTTATCTCGGTCCTGAAAAGACTGGTAGGTGACGGAGGCGAAAAAAGTGTGAGGTAGGTTTTCAAGCCAATCAGATGGATACAGTCCGTTGCACGCGGACGGACACTCAGCTAGATCTGGGTGCACGTAGCCGGTGTCGAGCTATTCTCCGCTGGTAGTGTGCAGCGCTTGTATCTGCCCAAACTGAATAATCCGTGGTCTCTCCCCTAGCCGGGCCATATGGTGGGAAGACGATCGTTTCTCCTTGATGATAGTCTGGACTCTGCTTTCATTCGCACCTCCGATAATACACACTTGTCAGCTAGTCCCATATTCAGACTTTTGGGCGAATTCAAAAATGGCAGGAGATGCCAAAACGGACTAGGCATAAGAAAAAGACACGGGAACTTGTTCCATTTAGTACATCTATGTATGATCTGACCAGACGTCGACATAATCAACCAATGGGGCTCATGACAGCGACTTCTTCACCTACTAGTACTCAACTACGTGCCTAGGGACATATAGTCCGTCAGCGATAAGCATCAGGTTTTGGGACCGGGCAATGCCCTTTCGAGTTGAACAGCGTGATTTGTTTCTGAAAGGGGCCAATCACGAACCAATTCGTCTTCCTCTAGAGCTCTCCAATTAGGTGATGGAGTGGCGCGAATGTGCGAGAAGTCCTGGGGCAAGAAAGGGAGCTCGGTATGGTCTCTGGTGACCAGATGTTGCTGATCACTGGTTGTCTGTGATGATATGGACATTTTTAGGCGAACCAATGGATGGAATAGGGAAAATATTGGACCTTCAACTCGCTCGGGTATGCACCAAATCTCACTTGATCACAACTTTCGATTATCGGATTCGATGTAATGTCAAGATAGGCATCGACGGCAGTAGAATTGTGCATCCTGAACTGTCAGTCATGAGCACAGTATATCATAACATACGCGGACAATATAACCCTACCTGGTGACATCCAGCAACAACCACGCAATTTGTTAAGTTGTGTAACATGATGCTACCATTGACACTCCCTAGAATGAGAATTGAATTCTGTATGTCGCGGATGTGAAGCGCCGAAAGGGAAACGGTATTAGCAGACAGAGTTGACTCATTCGTGGTCGTAAGAAGATTTAGAACGCTGTTCGATATTCTTATTATAGACACCTCTATGTGATTTGTGGATGAGCTGGGGCCAGAAAGGCACGACCTAGAAAGGTAGGAATTGGAGTGGTTGGATATCGTTCTGGAGGCACTAGATATTGGTGTTGTAGGTATCGCTAATGCATTCGTTTGAACAGGTGGCGTGGCGGTCTCTGCTGGTGCTGGAGCTGGTATTTTGACCTTCCGTTTGAAAGCGAATTTTGTTTTCCCTGCAGTTGATGAACGCAATTCCTCAAGCGACTTCTCTAATGCTTTAAGTTGCTGTCCAGTTTGATTAGCTCAGACATCAAAACCAGACGAAGGGCACATACTAGTTCGTTTTGTCTTTGATCATAGCTTGGAAGTCTCCCGGTAGCTTCAGTCAAACGCTTGTTGAGAGCTTGTATTTCTCCGGCTATTGAATGCACAGAATCTGCATTCACAACTTTGAGACGGGAGGCAAGTTCTACGGACTATAGTAGCGTCGGTATTACCGGTGTAAAGGCGAAGGGCTTTACCAGAACAAGATGCTTGAAAGGAGGACGTGAATGCTTGAGCAAACGTCCATATTGCCTCTGCGCCGTCATCGGATGTCATAATGGTCAAATAGAACAGGATACTTAGTCGAGTGGTCGAAATGATGTGGCATGAAGTTTAGCTATCATATAGCTAGCCTGATTTAATCGTGATCATAGAAGTTGAAGGATTCCGGGTTTTGCCAGTTACTGTATGAGCTTTACTGTTATTGACACGTGCACGTCCTTACGCTCATGCACCAACACACATCTACTAACTTCACGTAGATATGCCCTTCCCTCGCACCAGCAGTGGTAACTGGCTTAAGCTTCTCGACTCAAAACTCTACACAAAGACCTCGTATTCACTAATCCCGATTTAGTTCGAGTTTCTCAAAGCTCAAGCTTAAGGTTCTACGGCTAGCCTAGCACAGACTGAACCGCAGTTGATTGAGCAGCAATACAATATAGGAGACTTGCGACACAATAGGCAGCTACGGTGACAATCCGCGATATTCAGGGTTTCTCGCGAATTCCCCCTATCATCGTACGACTCGGACGACTTACAAGTGGCCACAACGCGCCATAGCCCGGTCGTCATCCTCATCGTGAACCAGTACTCATGCAACGCCCTCATTGTCCAAACTTCAGGCAATCCCCACCGTGTTCAAATCCCGCCTCTCACTTTCACAGATGTCAAGATGCTCAAGAACGACTTCGGCAGGGCACGCATCTTTTATGAGCCCAAAGGAGTTGAGGATCTTGGTAGTCTTTTGAGGAAGATCTGGATGAGTTTATACTACCTATCGCTAGGTCCTCCATCATGATCAGAAATGACGAATGACATCGCTCTGGTGCATACTCGCAGGCGAGGGGAATAATTGGCCAAGAATTTCTCGATCACGTGACTGTTGAACATCCGTGACAACACGGGCGAATAGGCGTGTTTTCTACACTGTTTTCGTGGCGAAGAATTTGGGGTACCTTGTAGGAACGTGTGGTATACTGCAGTACCATGCATGGCATAATTTTTAGCCGCAAAGTTCGAGTTTTCGACCCGCTGCAGAAGTAATGACAGCACAATGGACTGCCGTGACGAAATCGCGACATTTCGTACTTCTCCCATCGAGCGGTGACTCTACGGCGAAACATGTATGTCTCAGGCAAGAACCTTCATTCACCTCGCTCTGGGACACGCATTTTTTTGGCTGGAGCTCAAGTGAGCAACGTGTCCCAGACTCGATGTTTTCGTCTTCATGTGACAGCCAACCGCAGTCAAATTTTCTTTTTCTGCTTACCCGAGGCGTTACAGCGTGTGCCATTGTGCCTGGCAGTCAGCATACTGCCCTGCGCCCTGTACCACATTCCCGTCTGCTTCCTCCCCGCCCATCAGCCTCCGGTTAGCGAGCGCGCGCTATCTGGGGTTGTCGTAGAACCGCCGACATGCGCTTAGTCATCCTCTCCGCCATACACCCGCGCGTCAGTGCCCATGACATGATTATCGAGAGGGGCTGTGTATGATATTATCTTACTACACGCGCAGTTCGATATTGTCATCACTCTCCTTCCTTTTAGCTTCATCAACTTGAAAGATGTCTTCAGTCCGCCCTTTGTTCGTGATCGCTGGTATCGGCAATGGCACCGGTAAGTCCTTCTCAGTGGGTACAAGCACACACGGCTGACTTCCTGCACCGGGACCGGAGCTGCGACCGCGTACATAGTACTACCTCCGTCCTCACCAACTTGTACTGATAGTGTGTACACAGCCGTCTCTTCGCCAAATCTGGCTACAGAGTCGCCCTGTTCTCCCGAGGACCAGATTACCTCAGTAAACTCGCTGCAGAGATCAACCAAGCAGGCGGAGAGGTGCTGATTCCTATCCATATGTGCGCTCCTATTCAGCCACATTGACCAGACCCCTTGGACCAGGCTGCAGCATTCCCTCTCAATGACTACACCACAGCATCCATCAGGTCAGCGTTCGCTTTCCTCAAGTCTCACTAGCCATCATCCCCTCTCCGTGTCGCGGTCTTCAATGCGGGCTACGCTGTCTGGAAGGCCATTCCTTGATATCACGGAAGACAAGTTCGTGAGTCGATTGACACCAACATTTTAGTGGCTTTCGCCTTTGCACGCGAGGTCCTCCTTGAGTTCACAAAGCTCTGGTCTGAGACCGCGAATGAGGGCGGAGTTGCTGGCAATGCTCGTAAAAGGGGCACCCTTATTTTTACTGGCGCAACGGCTTCTATCCGAGGCAACGTCCTGACCTCTGCATTTTCTGCGAGCAAATTTGGGATAAGGGCTTTGTCGCAGATTAGCTAAGGAGTTTGCCAAGAAGAATATACATGTGGGTGTCTTCTGCATCGTCTTGGGATTGTTTGTGGACTGATATCTTTACTTTTAGGTTGCTCATGTGAGTCCCTGTCTTCTGGTGCTAAGAGTATTTATGAACGTTCAAACGCGCTGCTCAGAGCATTATCGACGGCAGTAAGCATACTGTCAGCATCTACAAAGTATCGTCTAATGAGGAACAGCCATCATCACCGACCGCGCCAAATCTCGTCACTTCAGCCTGTCTCGGGTGGTTAATCAGGATGTTCTACTTGATTCTGATTATATCGCAAAGGTTGGAGCATTCTTGTGGTAATACGCGCCTAAACTCATCACATCCCTTAGTCCTACTTGCACCTCGTCGGGCAAGATAGTTCAGCCTGAACTTGGGAAATTGACCGTAAGCGTGGCTCCGATTTGCTACCCTGTCTTCACTCTCTTCCAAACAGTGCGTCCTGCTCACGAAAAGTGGTGAGCAACTCGAGCAGCAAGTTTTGGTCTGGAGTCAAAGCGCAATCGGAAATCATTGGATTTGTAAGTCTTGGGTGTAATTATGTTGTTGGTGTATATGTACGCCTTTTTCACTTGTCACGTCCTGTTATCCTTTTGCTTCTCGAAACCATCTTTTACCTGCGGTAAAGTGTGTCGTAACAATCAGAAAGTGAGTCTCCATATTTACCTATAGCGAAAATTTACCGTCTGTGATCACGCGCCAGCGTGTGCGAGGGCCTTTGAGACAAGACATGCATCATATGCAGCCTGCGAGTATGGTCACCGCGCTGGAACGTGGTTTTGAAGTCATAAATAGCGACAGAAAGGAAAGCTGGATACGCGGGGTGTAGGTAAGGGGTGAATAATCTCTTTCAAAAGTCCCTAGACATCATACCACCTTACAAGCCTCAGGCCTCAGGGTGATTAACCTGCAGGTCTGTATACGTAGGAGATCTGCGAGTCGGAGATGTCACTCGCTTACGAATCCGGGACCGTGGTTTCTCTATGTTCTATTTCTGGAACATGCATCAATCACGGAACGGAAACAACACTGAAACAGGCTAGATTCCATGACTGTAGTATCATCTATACCCTGCGGCAAAAAGGGTATCCGACATGCCTCATGACATGCATGATGACTAGATCGGACTATCCAAGGCGGTGTGCAATTACTATACGCATCAATGCTGTGTAACCTTCACTATGTAAGTAGTACTACCACGCTTCACATGCACAGAACGCCCATCCCAGATCCCTCTGTTGCCTATTTCCCTTCAAGTTTGTGCTCGATACAATGTCCGATGGCCTCCTGACTGTATTATGCACCTCCTGCTGTGGGTCAAACCGTTCTAATAGTCCATCTACTTTTGAACTTACACCAATAATTAGGCGTGATGGGGAGTTCACTTCAGCAATGGTTTGATACCCGTCAGTCTTCCTTGAACCATGTCGTTCTTATCGGTCACAACTTACAATGCATACTTTTGGCATACTTAGATGCATTAGGTGCTAATTGCCAATGTTGTAGTGGCCCACGCGGGTGTTGTAATAGTTGTTTTGAGTCGTCCTCGAACGAGGACAATTTTGATGAACAGCTCAAGAAAGACACGGAACGCAGAGAAGCTGCTGCTCGACGACTTTTTGATGCTCAACCTGCGCCCACTCAAGACATGAACTGTGAAAGCTCCACAGACAAGCCAGCAGTCCCTTCGAAATAAGTGTAAGGTCGTGCTGTTTCTAATCTTCCGCACATATCCGAAATTGATAGTGAACCTCAGGCCTCGAATCTGTTTCATTGTACCACGAGAACTCGTAGGCATCTGATCAATAGGATAGCCTTAGGAAGAGATAACTATAAACTTACGAAATTCGGGAAATTCCCCTTATCCTCGATATGATAATTGTGTTTCACCTAGGCGGTCATTTAGCTCAGCCGCTCACCGGGATAAATCAAAGCTACATACTCACAGAAAGTCTAGCTAAATTATGGACAGTCTGGCCCAGCGCAAGTCTGTCACAGATTCTAGGCCGGGGGGTATTTTCAAGTTGTCTCGGTCAGTTTGGGGGTCAGCCGCTCGGCTCAATTCGGTCGGAGTTGTCATTCATAGCTGACACATGCATGCCACCTTGACCACGTGATGTCATAAAGGAGGCGGGCACGAAAGACATCCGTGGGCGAGAGGGGCAGGAGGAACGTTGAGAAGGTCTGTCCAGTCTCTGTGCACAATCATAGCTGACGTGATAGAACTCCGGCCAAAAATATTGAGCCGGATCGTTGACACACCACAGACTCGGACCCCCGGAAGACTAGCCCTCACTAGACTGTCTGTTTTCCGGTTCTCTGTACTTAGGAGTACTAGCGGCAAACGTAATATATACGTGTACGCGGGCACTAGGTTGCGCTTAATTTCACCTATTGGTGCTTGGTCCATTGCTTTACATTTTTCGGTCATGCTAGACGCAGGATGTCTGGGTTCTCTGTGTGGAGAATGCTGTATGCAAAATGTATTCCATCAATTTGAATCCATTGACCAAAATATTCACATAGGCATCGTACTGCCAACAACTGCTAAAGGAACTCGGTGCAATATAAGTTCGTTAACTCATTGTTTGAACAGATGCGTTTGGCGCTGACGCCAAATGCTACGTTCCGTAAGGATGTTGCCGAGAATCTTTTGATGAAGATCATTTCGATGAGCAAATGAAAAAGGAGATGGAGCGGACGAAAGAGACCAGCCAGTCGCTTATCGAAGCCCAGCCCGGGCCATCTGGTGATATGACCGCAGAGTTGACGGAGGGGGGCGCAAGAGCCTGAGAGGGTCCCGAGTCCCTGACAATGCTTCACCAGCGCCGCAATAACCATGACCGCAACATGGGCTCGGAAAGTGTAAGCAATGATGCTTCCGTTGTGAGCAAGATACAGGCACACTGATCGGTTTAACAGCTCGCGGGTGTGTTTGAGCTCTTGTATGAACCTAGTAGGATGTACGGTAACTTGTCAGTCTCATGACAGTGAGGTGTCCAGTTTGCCAAACAGAATTTGCATTGCTGAACGTATGAACTGACCGACATAAACCTATAGTCACGGCATCATAATAGTCGGAACGCGCTGAATTTGAGACGCTACCATAATTTGTGAAAAGAGTCGCGTTCAAAAAGCCGGAAGCAAAATAGTCACATGTCGGAACTCGGAAGACCTGCTGCCACTTCTGCGCCGAGTCTGCGTCATCTACCGTGTTGAACTCTACACGCTTTCACTTGACCAACTGTCCCCACTTGAACCTCACGGTTCTCAGAGCGCAGATAATCTGCGCGTGTCTCCAAGCTATATATTGCGTTACGACCAACCTTACAATCATCATTCAATTTAACCCGACTTCTCATTGGAAATATTGGATCCGTCGAATCACACTGAACATTGGATACGTCTACAAGATACTGTACGAATTATTCGGGCATCTAATTTGCAAATATAATACCAAAGCATACGAATCAAGCCTTGACACCGGTTTGCAGCCCCTACAGTCTGGACAGTTGCTGTATTCCCAACCCACTTAGTATTGATCGAGAGGCTTAGGCGTAGAGATGGGGAATGTGCAGTCAGGCTCCACACTTACACGGACAAGTGGAGCATTGGATTCATTTGTCACAGAATTAGGAGGGGACATCGTTTATGACAAGGGGTAAGTCGTCGTCCTATACGCCCCTCACATGCGTGTCCACTCTTGCTCATTTCTGCAGACTCAATCAGGCGCGTTTCCTCAAGACGGTCAAATGTAAACACAGAAATGGATACCTTGTTGTCAAGATATTCATCAAACAAGACCCTGGAGTCAGTCTCAGGACCTACCAAAGAAAGCTGAAGAGTATGTAGTTTCAAGGCATGATGTGCAACCTGCTGAATTCGAGCAGCGGACAGGGAAGCTCTACTGGACATCCCAAATATCTACACCTATCAAACATTCCTTGAGACAGAGAAAGCGGGATATCTCGTTCGTCAATGGGCTGCAAGTAATTTGTATGATCGTATAAGGTGCGATCCAAGACGCATGTCTTGGATGTTGTGCTCATTTAAGCAGTACTCGCCCATTTCTCTCTCTCATTGAGAAAAAGTGGATCACTTACCAGCTTCTCACCGCACTCTCTCAAGCACACCTGCAGAAAACGCCGCATGGAGACATCAAGTCAACAAACATCTTGGTTACGTCGTCAAATTGGATCTACGTGACCGACTTTGCTGGATCTTTGAAACCTACGCGACTCCCTCTAGATGATCCTTCGGATTTCTCGTTCTTCTTTGATACCAGTGGACGGCGGATTTGCTATGTCGCCCCAGAACGATTCTATAAAGTGGAGAAGGAGACAAGGAAAGCATGGACAAATGAGGAGGGCGAACTAAAGGAGCCCATGGTGACTGAGGCGATGGATGTCTTTAGTCTGGGCTGTGTCATCGCGGAAGTGTTTCTTGAGGGCGCATCTCTTTTCTCGCTCAGCCAGCTGTTCAAGTACCGTGAGGGGGAATACAGTGTGGAAGCTCAACTTTTGGCAATAGGTGATGAAGGTATACGAGTGAGTAACGACCAGTGCCAGATTTCTTTGAAAGCTTAACTGTCTTCTATGATCTAGTCGATGATCAGACAGATGATTACATTAGATCCCGCTGCGAGACCTACCTTTCATATGCTCCTAGCGGGTGCACGAGGGACCGTCTTGCCTGAGTGTTTTTACTCTTTCTTGCACGAGTATGTGGCTTCAGTTGGCGAGCGTCCTTCTTCCCTCCCTTTTCCATCCTCGTCCTTCTCCGTGTCAAATGCTCCTCCCTCCACCTATTTTCCAGCAGCCACTTCAAATACAACGATCAAAGTGCCAAGTAAGGAGACAGTGGTAACAGCTGCTGGCGCAACCGGGAATGGCAGTGTACTTCCTGGTGATAGCGACCACAGATTGGAGCGACTTTGGGAGGAATATGAGAATGTGGACCCATACCTCGACGACACAGACGTCGAGAAGACTGTGATGGATGTCAAGGTTGAGTTCGGTAATAATGTCGCTGGACCATCCAAACCTTTCCAGGTACCTTTTGCATTTATCGCAGGGCGAGCTGAAATTTATCCGTCGACTTACATTACTCGTAGGATGTCTTTCCCGTCTCCATGCACATTCCATCTCATCCCTCAAATCGGCATTCAACTCCTGCTGAAGATGGTCCCGCACTCATACTTCTCTCCCTCGTTTTAGCTAACATCCGCAACTGCCTTCTCCCTTCGTCTCGCCTCCGTGCTTTAGATATACTACTCGCTCTATCGACTCGGCTGACTGATGAGGCCAAGCTTGATCGTGCCGTGCCGTATATCGTAGAGCTATTGCGTGACGAGGCTGCAGTGGTCAGGGCAGCAGCAGTCAGGACGCTGGTTCAGATCGTGCGTGCCCTTTATTTCCTCAACTACGTTGTATTCACGAGTAAACTCGTTGCAGCTGACTCAAGTAAATGTCATCACTCCCTCGAATGCATCAATAGTACCAGAGTATATCATTCCGAATGTGCGTTATCTTGTGCAAGATCCAGAGGTGTCGGTCCGGGCAATGTATGCGCAGTGCATTGCTCCCCTAGCTCAGACTGCCGACCGCTATCTCGAGATGGGCCAAGCCCTTAAGGCACATGGTGTTTCTCCTGGGATCAATGGTGACAGACAAGAATACGAGGAAATGCACTTCGAGGCAAGCCATATGAACACTCTTTGCTTTTCCACTTATCTAAGTCTTGTTGATAGGTATCGTACGATGTCATGAAACAAGACCTCCTCCTCTCCATCCAGGAACAGTTGTCAACGCTTCTCATGGATCCTTCTCCCATTGTTAAGAGAGCGGTGCTGCATAATATCAATGCACTTTGCGTCTTTCTTGGCAGTCAAAGAACGAACGATGTCGTCTTGAGTCATATGATCACGTACTTGAACGACCGAGACTGGCACCTCCGTCACGCGTTTTTTGAGAGCATTGTCGATGTCGCGGCGTGTGCTGGAGGTAGGAGCCTAGATGAATATATTCTGCCGCTGATGGTACAGGCACTTTCTGGTGAATTTTACTGCACTCATGGTGGAATATATCTGATACCCCTGGTTTCAGATGTGGAAGAAACTGTAGTAGCACGGGTACTCGCCGCCCTCACTAGCCTCTGCGAGTTGGGTCTGTTTCAGAAGATGCGCATTTGGGAGCTGATGAGTGCCGCTCTCCCGTTTTTCTACCACCCCAATGTTTGGATACGGCAGGGTATGGTCTATGAATCCTTTTGATCCGCAAGACGCTCACAGTTTGTGCAACTTCAGGTGCAGCCTCCTTTATTGCGGCTGCAGCGAAATGTCTACCCCAAAGTGACGTCTGGTGTATCCTATACCCTTCCTTGCGTCATCTGTTGCGTTCGGATGTGAAGGAGGTTGAAGAACAGAGTCTTTTGTCGGCAATGAAGTCACCGGTAAGCCGGATTTTCACAGAGCTGGATTCGCTACTTATGATTTAAAGTTGCCACGTCCCGTTTTTGATGGCGCTGTCCAATGGGCAATGAAAGCGGAGAAAACCTCCTTTTGGAAGGGACATCGTAGACCAGCATCCAAGGTGGAATCCCCGAGGGAAAGCATAGTTTCCATGAGAAAGGGGGGAAACACGGCTATTGGACGCAACAAGTCAGAAGAGTGAGTTTCTCAGTTTCAAGTCTCCGCGGGGCTAATATGTGCAAAAGGGACGAAGTGCAGTTGCTGAAACTGCAGAACCTTGGTATGACATCCGCTGATGAAGCGAAGCTCACGGCGATGCGGGATTACATCCTCAAGCTGGCTAATAATGCATCAAGGTTGGTTTTTCTTTTCATATCCGCTGGCTTTTTGATTGAACTTGTGGCAGTTTCGCATCCAGACCAAAAACAGAACCAGAATTTGAAAGGAATCTCCGTTCGATGGGAGATGTTGAACTACAGAAGTTATCTGTTGTTCCTCAGACAGTCTTCCTCAAATCAAAGCCCTCTATGTCTGATCTAACACCCAGACCTTCTCGCTTGGCATCCTATTCACGCAGGCCAGGTGACCTCCCAGGACGCCTCGGTACACCACACATGAGCAGGGCTTCCAGTGTCGACCATGGAGCAACTAATCCTGCACTGGAAGACCTAAAGCGGAGATTAGCTGCTATCAACGGCTCTTCATCGTCGCTCAACCTCACCGCTACTGCCCGGGAACGCCAGGCAGTGCAGTCCCCCTCTCTACCGCCTTCAAATTTGCAGCCAGCAACTCTTGCGCTTCCTCCTCAGCCTGCGGGACATGATCGCCCGAGCAGCCCGACAGATTCGGTTGTGTCTAATACTAATTCATCGACTATCCGGACTGTGCATCGGTTGCATGTTGGAAGTACAGACGGACAGAAGGCTGCCCCTGCGGTTGGCTCATCTAATACGAATGCAGTAGGGTTACTGGAGGCACCATCTAAGATGCGTGCAGAAGGTTCTCCTGAACAATCAGGAAGATCATCACCAATTTCACTTGCTGGAACCGCAAGAGGTGTGATCCGACCCCGTACAGCCTCCATGTTGCCTATCTCAACCTATGGTACGTTTTAAACCATCATAACATCTCCTTGCATGATTTCTGATATGGTCTGTAGATGGGCCGGAACCTGGCATCAACAATCTGCTCGAGAACATCTACTCGGACAACAACCGCGAGTTGCAGCATGACTTCGGTCCAAAGGTGCATGAAGGACCTATTCGTCGACGCAATACAGCCAGACAAAGCTTCATTACGCGCGATAGCAACAATCGGCGAACGGAAGCCACTATCATTGCTCACCTCCAATCTCACACTGACTGCGTCACCGGGTTGGCTGTATCTCCAGATCATGCGTTCTTTGTTTCATGTTCAGATGACATGTCTGTTAAAGTATGGGATACAGCACGGCTGGAACGCAGTGTGACGAGTAAACCTCGCCATACGTATAGCCAGCATCATGCGCGTGTCAAGAGCATATGCATACTGGAGGGCGTGCATTGTTTTGCTAGTGCAGCGGAAGACGGAAGCTTGCATGTCATCAGGGTACACGTCAACCAAAGTGGGTCTTTGCCGAAGTATGCAAAACTTCAGACCATTCGAGAATATCGAGTGGACTCGCCTGGCGAATATATTACATGCATGATTCACTACAATTCAGGTAAGACTATGTTTTCTGCCAGCTTGCTTGGTGAAATAAATCTTATCAGATGTCGCCTCGAATCTTGTCTTTGCGACAACACACTCTGTCATCACCATCCTGGACTTGCGAACCATGCGAGTCTTACAACATATGCAAAATCCGCGTCATTTTGGACCCATAACTTGTATGTGTCTAGACCGCAAACGCACGTGGATTCTCGTGGGCACTTCTATGGGTGTGCTCTCACTCTGGGACCGACGTTTTGGCCTGCTTGTCAAGAGCTGGCAAGTTGGCAAAACTTCTTCAGGAAAATTTGCAAGAGTAAACCAATGTATCATCCATCCAACCAAAGGGAAAGGGACTTGGGTAATGGTTACCATCGAGAGCTGGAAGGGTGGTCCGGAGTCTTCGCCCATAAGCCTCATCGAGGTCTGGGACATTAAAAATGGCGTTCTGGTGGAGAGCTATATGACAAGGACCACGTCTACGCCAACAGAGTGTGTTCCTGAACCTGTGGAGATTTCAGCAGTGGAGGCCTCGCAGAGCCCAGCTGCCGCCATTGCTGCTCTTGTCAATGCTAGGTACCCTGGTGGAACTGCGCACGCCAATGCGAGCAAGAACGGAGGACCATCCCATGGCCCTCAGCGTGATGAGGTGCTTCTGGCACCCTCGCATGATATTCGTGCAATCGTAGCTGGTGTCGATTTTGGACATTCCGGATCGCATAGATCAGAAATCGTGGATTTGTCGGTTGATCCCCCCGCGTCGAGCCGTAATTCTAGGGGGTTCATGGTGACAGGTTCGGAGGATAGAAGAATTAGACTGTGGGATCTCAGCAAACTTGAGCGAACATCTGTGGTGGCTGGCCCAGAGTCAGAACATGACAGGCCATCGTACAGGTGAGACTGCGTGTTCCACTAAAGATATTTTGCTCACTATGACTTTAAGCACTGTGCGAGCTACAGATGGTTCGCCATACGTCAGTAACGTTGAGACATGGGCACATTCGTCCAGCTCAGCTAGTCAGAGCAATCGACCTCCGCAAAGGATGTCGATGATTACCCATAACCAACAGAACCTTCTCAGGTCACATCAGGATATCGTGACTTGTTTGGCTTGCATTGATTCCCCATTCCGAGGAGGCATTGTGAGTGCCGACAGAGCAGGGGTGATCAAAGTGTGGAGGGTCGGAAGCACCGACTCGTAGTGACCTGCGTATTTACTTTGAGTGATATATCTTGTTTACTTGCTTCCGTACGTACACTTTGCCATGCTATCGATTAGATTTTACTGTAGTACTTGTTAATTTCACCCGAAATTTCCGAAATTTGTCGCGAAGGGTGGTTCGAAGAGCGCGCGCTTGATAGTATCATGCCAAAAACAGACTTGGTCCTGACTCGGATGCTCAGATCTCTGACTCGGGCTCCCCCATATCTGACTCGTCGTAGCATCTACAGGTCAAAAGTTAGCTTTCTTCGCGTTTATTCGACAGCCATGGCTACTCCAATTGCGTCTTCTTCGCAACCTGCCCAGATACCCGCCCTCGATGGACCACATGCTGGAAATGCAAAGAAACCAAAAGAGAAAAAGGACAAAATGGCGGCGGCAGCATCTCAGTATCCACTTGAAGTGAGCAATCTTCGCAGATGTTCTTTAAACTTTGACTGACTTATGAGCAGCTCCAACCACTGCCAGGTTTTTTTGATCATCGCATCAAGATGTTCGAAGAACTGCACGCAAAATACAAGGAATTTGTGAAAAGTATGCATGACATCTATCCCGAGATCAATTATCCTGATCACTGTCTTAGGTCAGCCGCGGGAGGAGATCATTATCACGATGCCTGATGGATCAGAGCGCAAGGGCACTAGTTGGGAGACTAGTCCCATGGATGTTGCAAAAGAAGTTTCAAAGAGTCTGTCAGAACGAATTGTGATTGCAAAGGTATGTGACTCCATTTCTTGATGTTTAGAATATGACATGATTCTCGTAGGTCAATGGTATTCTATGGGACTTAGAACGACCATTGGAGACTTCGTGCAAACTAGAATTATTAGACTTCGAGCACCCAGAAGGTATGCTGTGATATACACCGCCTTTGCACCTTGTGATTGATTATTGTAGGTAAGAGGGTCTTCTGGCATTCGTCGGCACATGTTTTGGGTGAAGCTGCTGAGCGGCATTACGGTTGTCACCTATGCATTGGCCCACCAACGGACGATGGTTTCTTCTACGAGATGGCTATCGAGGACAGGTAATCGGTCATAACTAATACTGTAATGGTCAATCATTAACTTTAGCAGAGCTGTCACCAATGCAGATTATCCCGCTCTGGAGAAGCTTTCAGAAAGCGCCGTCAAGGACAAGCAGAAATTCGAACGCCTCATAGCGTCGAAAGAGGATTTGCTGAGAATGTTCAGCGTATGTCCTTCGAGATTCTCTGGAATACTCCCTCATCTAATATGATCATAGTACAACAAATACAAAAAGCACTTGATTGAGACCAAGATTCCAGACGGCACATCTACCACTGTGTATCGTTGTGGACCGATGATAGATCTCTGTATCGGACCTCATATACCACACACCGGCAAGATCAAGGCATTCATGGTTACTAAGGCAAATACATAGTCCAGAATTCGCTCGATATCGCTCTGACACAGCCATTGTAGAACTCTGCATCATATTTCCTGGGTGATGCGAACAACGATTCATTGCAACGCATCTACGGTATCTCGTTCCCAGATAAGAAGCAGTTGACCGAGTACAAAGCATTCTTGGTCGAGGCTGCGAAACGGGATCACCGCAAGATCGCTCGGGAACAAGAACTATTCTTCTTCAATGACCTCAGTCCTGGAAGTTGCTTCTTCCTCCCTCATGGTACTCGAATCTATAACGCTCTAATTGAGTTGATGAGGGTGCGTTCAAGCCTGAAATAGCAGGAGGTTTAACTGATATCAGCACAGTCCGAGTACTGGAAACGTGGATACCAAGAAGGTGAGTTCGTAGATGATTCGAACGACATCTGGCGCTAACTAATCGGTCAGTCATCTCTCCGAACATGTACAACTCGAAGTTATGGGAGACTTCTGGGCACTGGCAAAATTACAAGGACGATATGTTCACCCTTGACGTGGAGAAAGAGAAATGGGCATTGAAACCTATGAACTGCCCAGGTCACTGCCTCATCTTTGACTCCCGGGACCGGAGTTACAAGGAACTTCCAATTCGCATGGCTGAGTTTGGTATCATACACCGAAACGAAGCTTCTGGCGCTCTCACTGGTCTCACTCGTGTTCGGCGGTTCGTGCAGGATGACACGCACGTGTTCTGCCTGCCCTCTCAGATAGAAGATGAGATCGCTGCACTATTCGATTTCATGCAACACATATATGGCCTTTTTGGTTTTGAGTTCCACCTTGAGCTATCCACTCGCCCCGACAATTATCTCGGCACCATCGAGACTTGGAACACCGCGGAAGAGGTATGTTTCTCTTCACGGCGCACCATAAGTGGTACACTTATAATCTCGGATGCATAGCAACTCACCAAAGCACTCGATAAGCAATATCCAGGCCAATGGCAAATCAACCCTGGCGATGGTGCATTCTACGGCCCCAAGATCGACATCACCATCCGTGATGCCCTCCGCCGATCGTTCCAGTGTGCCACCATACAGCTCGATTTCCAACTCCCTGAGCGATTCGACTTGAAGTACCGCTCCGCGGACGAAATGACCAACACTGATAAGCCCCCTTCACGTCCTGTCATGATTCATCGTGCGATTTTGGGAAGCTTAGAGCGCTTCATTGCGATCATCACGGAGCACTTTGCAGGAAAATGGTGAGTCCATTCTCCGTCTGTCTTCTTTGACACTTGACTCATAACGAGTCAAGGCCATTCTGGCTTTCACCTCGTCAAGTACTTGTTATACCTGTTGCTGTACCATACGTGAGTATACTCTAATAGAACGTGACAATCCAATGCTGACATCTTCACAGAAAGAATATGCCCAAGAGATAGCCACTCGTCTAGCCGATCTGGGTCTTTTCGCTGACGTTGACAACGGAGCAGATACTCTGCCGAAGAAGATTCGCAATGGTGAAATTGCACAATACAACTTCATCCTCGGTAAGAAAATCTTTTTTTACATTGCATTGTCCTGCTAGACATAGCATATTCACACAACCTAGTGGTCGGACAGGAAGAACTTGATAGCCGTTCGGTAAACGTACGAAACCGCGATGACGTCGGCACCAAATCCAAAGGCGAGATGGCGCCAATTGTAGAGATTGAGCAAAAACTGTTGGCGCTGAAGAAGTCACGGAGTCTTGCAAACAAGTTGATGTAATACTGAACATGTAGTAAATCTGGCAGATAGGTACTTGATCTGATGCGTAAAGAATGCGAAAGGGCCTCGATCGGCGGTCACATCGGATAGACACAAGCTGTAGCACAGCATATGTAGAACAAGGCACTATTTTTAGAATACTTCCAAAGAGTTCCAGTGAAGTCCAGACATACATCCACTATGTTGAGATACCTCCCAAAAATTGATTGCGCTTTCACCCGGAGCCGGTAAGCTAAGATGACCGAATAAGACTCATATCAAACATACCAAGTTCTGGATTGCTTCTCGCTCCGAAGGTGGCAAGCCATTGATCTGGTCTGGAGTTAAGCTGAGTACCTGCATTAGCATTTGCTGTACATCCAGGCACGTGAGTTAAATATATCAGGCAAGGCGGATCAGACCGACCCTTTGAGCCGGATCAATGTTTAGGTCAGGCATGGGAGCCGAGTGGGGCGGGGGGACTGCGTGTTGTGGAGGCCGATACCAAGATTGTTGTGGCGGTGGAGCTGGCATGTGCGACGGGGGCTGTTGATGCGGGAACATGCTCGGTGGAGCAGTTGACGCGGGTGGAGGGCCAGACATTGGCGGAGGCATGTGAGGTTGAGGCTGGTGTATGGGTGGAGACTGCTGGTATTGCATTTGGTGGTGGGGCTGTTGAGGAATTCCTGGACCTGGGGAAGCACCACTACCCGCAGTTGCTTGTAGCATGCGCTGTGCAATTGCCGTTTTGCTCGATGGTCACTCCACACGTAAATTATATGAACATACCTGGAGAACACTCTGGTCTACGATTTTGTTCAGTAGCAATGCTTGAAACAACGCATACGCATACTGCGGATGCGCAACAAGTAGTGCCCTTGCTTGATCCGGGTGGGTAATCACAAAAGCCTACACAAACAAGATCCGTGCACACATCATTAATCGTGTCACTCGCCGGTGCGAACCACAGCACACCTTCATCTGGGCAAGCACTTCGACTAACTGAGCTGGGCTCATAGTTGCAAGTGTCTGGCTGATGGTATCTAATGCAGTCGATCCAGGAGTTATGGGCACACCGGGTGGCAAACTTGACAGGAAAGAATTTGGGTCTTGAGATTTGGGTTGATCGCGAATATTATCATATCGGTCGCGGTCGCGATCTTGCTCACGGTGCTCACGCCAGCGGCCTCTTGGATCACTCCCATCGAGCAACTCGCCTCGCACAGTAGTCTTGCCTTCGAGGAAGGGATCGGAGTCGGCGAGATCAATTCGTAAAGGGCGACCACCAACATCGGCATTATTGAGGTTCCGCACAGCAGATGCAGCTGTTTCATGATCTTCAAGGCAAAATGCGAAAACACAAGTTTGAGTCCGTGTATACCGATACGAGTAACACGGAATGTCAAGGTGAATCGAGAAAAGCACAGATTAGGCGGGATTGCGGAAAAGAGCCGGTTTGAAGTCAGACATGCATCGAGGTGTACAGAAAAGAAAAATAAATTGGATGTACCAGCAAATTCACAGAAGCCATAACCTCTAGGTTTTCCTGTCTCTCTGTCAAAGACCAGTCTAAAAAAAGGACGTGAGTTGATGTACAGGCTAGGGATAAAGTCAAGACGGACCTGAAACCCACAACTTGGCCGACCGACTTAAAGACGTCAATGAGCTGTTCCTGTAAAAAGGTTCTGTCGGAATGGTATTGTATGAAGGATAAATGACTTTCCTCCCCCATGTTGTAGGGGACATTTCCCACTGTAAGGAAGAACTTATTAGTAGAATGAATGCAACCTTTCAGTGTGCACCTACCGAAAACGACCTTACTCATTTCGAGACTCGAAGAAAGCAATGAAGCTTGAAGATTTGAGATGCTACCAGAACAGTGTCGAAAGTTTGTGTTTAAGCGCTCACGATTAATTTCGGACAGGATGTGACATTGTGACATTTCTGTATTCGTAATATACCGAGTCGGAGACGGAAAGACACGGTCGACGATGCATAGCCCATGGCCGCCTGTGTCCCGCCAAGGTAGTCCGATCTCATGTCAATGACAATGAGTCGCTTATTAAACTTGGCTGATTCATTTGCTCTCGGAGTCCGACCTGAGCAACAACAAGGCCGAGTCTTGTCCCGACGGATGAGTCAGGCGATGCCACGACTTCAAGCCGCCTGTTGCCAACAGCTCTGTATCATGTAGAGTCATGGTGAGAGTCACTGTCTTACCGGGACCAGTGATGTACATGTGGACCTTGATGGACCTCATTCACGGATCAGCCCAAACTTTAATCGGGGAATGCCTTCTCGAGCTCAAGTAGGACTGGTCGAAAGACTCGAAACTGACTCGATGCTGTGTTAGATCTGCGGATCATAGCCTTGTGGTACTGCAGGTGCACAGCTACTTCGGGCTGGCGCCTGGATGCTTGATGACGCAGATGCCGATCCTTCGGCATCATCCGAGACCACATATAAAAACTCGAGCGACTCCGAGTCCAAAATCTGACTGACAACAACAAATCGTTCGCTACGTACATGACCGTCACCACTTCTAACCATCACAAACTGTCTCACTCTCGAAATACCGACGACCGATTCCAAGCCTTGGATCGCGCCTTGGCAAGGAGATATGTCCTGCGTCTACTCCAAGAACGAAGATTGCGTAGCATGCAAGAGCAATCTCAGGGCGATGTATTATTTAGACCAAGGTGATTGCGTTCTACACTGATCATTCGAAAACATACTTACCATATATTTAGAGTGGAAATATGTGATAACCCCTCTTCGTCACGTATCACGGCTACGCTTGAACTTCCTGGCATGAAAGCAGACGATGTGCGGGTCACACTCGAACGCGATAACCTTCTCGCTATATCAGGCGAACGCGTATCGAAAGCACTTTCTGACCAGTCCGCGTCTGTTAGTTTTCCTGTCAGGGAGATCAAGTATGGAAAGTTTCTTCGTACACTGGATGTTCCATCCGGTACAATGGTGAGTTCATCGTGGATCTGGGCTTCTTCATTAATTTCTGACCCTATTCCTCCAGATGAGTACCATATCAGCGGCAATGAGCGATGGCATGCTTCTTATATCTTGGCCTCGTTCTCCTCCGGGCGCAACAACACGTTCTCCGCAGTGATCTTTAGGCCACGCTGTGGCATCATGTTCTACCATATCCGTTCTTCTGGACTACACTCCCAACTCCTACATTATGATTTGTATGCTATGCTCAATCTATAATTCTAGATGGTTTTCTGATTTATACACGGTATAGGGGTTAATTGTTACCATAGATATCTTCTACTCATCAGCTTCTTGCTGCAGTTTTGATAGCCGTCCTATCATATTTGTTTTACTTGTAGCATACACGCGTACCTAGAGTCATCGTTCCTGTGTTGTGCCATAACACTGGATAGAGGCTTTCTGTGCTTATCTGTGGCGGAGGCAGATTCGCACTAACAATATGTATCACTATCAGTACAATGTCTGGCTTCTTCCAATTCGAGAGAACAATGCAAATATATGGGACGAGTCACTACACTGCTTAATTTCACAAGACTGCGCTTTGTTCATTAAAATGCACATCTGACAGCGTCCGTCCCAGGTCTTTCCATAGTCACCACTCGAGTCTTACAGATCCTGCATCTGGACCATCCGGACTGGGTTGAATCCAGTGTACTACTCGCTTGTAAGTATTCGGATTGCCGGTGTGTATGAAGGAAAGCCGATAAGGAATGAGCTCGGAAGCGAATCCAAATTTGACAGCGTCTGGCGTAAATGTCGTACAATCATTGAAACTAAAATATCATATCTTTGAGCCTGTGCTTTGAGTCAGAACGAATTACAATCAGATTCTTACCCGATGTCAGTGCCATCCAACACTATCGAGTTCTCCGCAGCATGTGCTACGGTACCGCTCGGTGAGGTGGGTGTGTTGCACCGACAAGTCCAAGGACTAGAATAAAATGAGGAAGGGGTGCCGATGGCCCGACGCTGACGCGTACAAACCGAGCGTTATTAGCATGGCCCAAGGAACGGAACCATAGCAGTGTGAAGCTCAGATTATACACCGCATGTTCGCTTGTGACCACCTGCAACCGCTGACTCGAACAGTCTACTGGATCATCCGGCGAGTCATAGCCAAAAGAACTCCGGAATGTCTGTGTCCATTAGCAATGTAAAAATTCCCCTAAGTGCTAGAGAGATGATCGCTCCCCCAAAACGAGCCTCGTTGGACGTTTTACTATAGAATTTTTGTTATTGATAATCACAGGAGGAGTTCGGTACCGAAATGACTCGAAATACCCAACTATAGGTGGGACATGAGAACGAACTCATCATGACTCTGAAACCTTGCTGTAGGGTATCCAGTAACCAGCACGCCACCTAAGCGGGACGGAATGAATTATACAACGTGGAATTGCCTCCCGTAAGCTGCGGAAATCAGTGCTTCGCGTAGAGTGGGCAGAACGCACAATTCGGACTGCAATATCCTGTGCCCGCGCAAGCACGTTGCATCACGGAGGCATGTCACGGATCCTGTTCCACGCCCTGCATACGATACACAGTATTGGAGTTGTTGTTGGGCGCTAGATTGGGCGCTTGGCGCTCATCCAGGCGGGCGCTTAACAATACCTGCCGTTGCTCAGCGCTCAGGGGTGGAAAGAGGCGCTCTGAAGACACTCTGCGCGATATCGCCAAGAAAACAGCTTTTAGCCCTCGTTGGCATGGCAGTTTCACAGAGCTACCGTTGCTCTGAATGGCCACTTGTTGGGTCACCAGCAATATATGACTCGACCTGGACTGAGGCTACTATGGAACCCCACATTGAAGTCGCCGCCATAATTATGGGGTCGGTGAACTCGGGCATGGCTAAAAAGCCGAAACAGTAAGACAACAAATGATAACATTCGGAATTTGATTGATTCCGTGGGAATACAACCTGTAATAGGTACGACCGTCCTAGTCACGGCCTAACTCCGCCATGAGTACAGGCACCCCATAATATTAGAGTGCAAACTTACACATCCAACGCCTTCTTTGACGCCATGGTGAGTAAACGTTGACTTTTAAGTTCCTCTGATCCTGTTCCTCCCGCATCCACAACTAGGCCGTGAAAGAACGTGGAAGGCAATCACATATACAACCGTGACCCGTCGTTCCCCGGATGCGAAAGTTTGGGTGGTAGGCTGTGTACTCCCCCGTTCAAGCTTTGACTCGTTCTCTTCATGCACATGTGTAGTGCTTGGACGGACAGTTGCACGAAATCGCAAATCGCTTAGAGGGGGCTCGGCATATACAAGTATCCCACTGATACGGTATTTAGGGGCGTCTGTTAAAGTCGCATGCGCCAGATCGACTGTGGGTCACAGAGATCTTGTGCAAATGCTTGAATAAATCAAGGTTCAAACGTTCGGAACCTTGCGCTAAGCATTATGATCGGAGAATCATCCGCCTTTGGCCACTTTCTGTGGAATGGTCCACTGTTCCACTGTCCCGCGGGAGTCACTAACTCACTAGTACAAGAGCAGCTATCGAATCTGGCATGTAAGGCCCATTCATACGTATGGTGCATGACACAAGCTTTACTCATACTTTGAAGATCGTTTCAGGAACACCGAGGATAGCGAGATATTATATCACCCCGCTTTCAACGGGACATTACGATATATCCCTGGACATTAATATCTCGAAGTGATGACGAAGAAGTTGATAAGGCGGCAAGAGAGTCAGCAGAACAACCATTGAATGTAACATTTGTAACTAACCTCTCACATATCATCTCCGCGGACTGCCATGGCACCACGAGCACCTTCCTCTCCGCTCAAGCAAGTACATCGCCAAGAAATGCAATATCATCTCACTTCGTCTTCCGCCAGAAATCTCCGCGTTCAATGCTTGGCGCATATATCAACTGGACTCCAAAGACATCATCCGCTCCTTCGTTAAACTCACCTCATTCCCGAAGAAACCCCCATCATTAAAGTATTGATATTGGACCTTCGCTCGCAACCCATTGTCCTCAATAAACACCCGCACTGATGGGGAAAGCTCCCCTCACGGCGCCCTCATTGTCCCCATCCGGAGGGGCAGTGCGTCATTCTCGTTCGGCTGCTTTCAGACGCGTAGTACACGTCCAAACGTACAATATGTGAGTGTCTTGGCGCTGTTCATTGGGAAATTACAGTTACACCGTGCTCACCGTATCAAGGACTTCAGCGAACGGAGACCCACGACCTTTCTTCTCCAACTCCAACTGGCTGGACACTGACACCATATATACATAATGATAGAAGTAGGAAGGTTTAGCTTGCTGTAATGTAAGAACACATTAAAAACGAATATACCGAATCAGTGATATGTAAGTTCGAATCAACCACATCGCATGGGACAGGTACAATCACGAACCGGTTAACGAGCTTGTGGGCCAAAATGGGATAAGTATCCTAGGGGAACAGATGCATCTACGAAGTTGGACCACCTGTCTTCCAACATCAAATCACTTTGCTGTCCTTGTTGGGGACTGTAGAGCGAGGAAGCGCACGGAGATTGGCAGTATAATGCTCCAGAAATCTGCCGCTGAAGTGATCCCAACCTAGGCTGCTCAAGCGCCCCTTCCCCAAGTCCATACTCCTGAACCTCATGGATGCCAATAAGATGCGGCTGATAAACGTTTTGTTGGTTTGAGGAAATGGTTTGAGTTGCTGTGGAATTTGCAAGCTGGATTTGATGTTTGAGAGACCACGAAACCTGCTTAGAGGGTTTTGTTACCAGCGATGTCCGACCGCCAAACACCTCTAATTCGTCAGGTTCGTCCTCTGATTCAGAAGGCCTTGGAGGTAGTTTATGGCTGACGTGTTGAAGGGGAGCCATCTTCGCGTCGATCGCTTTTTGATGAAGCCGAAGTAAGATTGGCTTCAGAGGCATGATAGTGAGCTCTGGTAACTGACAGATACCATCGTTCAAAACTCACCAGCGCCCTTTTGGCACGGCTACAAGTTTGTGCCGCCTCGTAATATAATGAGCACGCCCTTTCTAAATGCTCCAATGGGTCCGGGTCTAGTTTGATGCCAAGTTTTCGGATGGCGACGGTGCCAACGATAACCTCGACAAAATCACGTCAACATAACCCGCCAAACAAGACATAAATTCGCGTACTGCTGCTGAGAATGTGTGGGACCATATTCGCCACATTCGAGAGCATATCACTGGCTGTAGCTTGAATTGGCTGATAGTCAATGTGACCAGTGCACTGGCACATTGGTAGGCAACCATGAATGATCGGCCTACAGGGCTTCTAAGTGGATCCGAGGGAAATTCTCCCATGGCCTGTGCAAAGAAACCTCTGTGCAAGAACATGAGCGCTTCGCACTTCAAGTCAGTCAACATTAATATGTAAAACTACCACGACACGCACTGAGATCTCTGTAAGATGTTAGAACAAAAGCAACCATCTCTAGGGGCACACTGTCAGGATGTGGGGAATCGGAAGATACAGGCATAGAAAATTCCCGTATTTTGCGGTCCAAGTCGAGGATGGTTTGGTAGTTAGGTGGCTTTACAGCCTGAGTGGCTTCAACGACCGGTGCTAGACATTCCATTGTGTAATGAGAATTCCAGTTGCCAACTTGCAATAGATTAGAACTCTTTCCCATGCAATGGCGAAATAACCTTACATGCAGTGGGGATTTCTCCCAGCCGGTACGTAGCCTCCTCAAAGTCACTCGGAATCTTGCAGTCGACGACGGCTGGCATAATCACAGGGGGACGTCCAATAGCCAGGCTTTGCCAGAGAGATTGAGAGAAGAGAGCCCAGAAATATGAACGGTGTTCGTAGGCTTCTCTCCCCTTAAAACCCCATCGTGAAGGATCCTTATCTGCATGGTAACATTAGCCACGTATCAATGGTTGCCTTGCGACATAACATACGGAACCCAATCTAATGATGCTCGTTAGAGGTCTGTCTGATGTATTGTGATACCTGTATCTCGAAACTAACCTGAAGTGCGGCTTGACCAGCAAGGTTGAGACAGGAATAACAAAGCTCCGTGTTGCTCTCGATGCCACTCATGCCATAGTACATACTCATAAGATGCAATGACTTAATTGTAGCCATAGACCGCTCCGTGAATATAGATTGCAAACACAAGGCGGCGCGCGCCACTCTTTGATAGTGACGAGCTTCGGCATTATACGGTGGAAGGGTGGGATCAACCAAAGCTCCGAGCGCTAGTGTACTGAATAGCAAGGCCAGGTCGTGTGGACCATAATGTGGCGGCTCCAATGAATGTATCTCCGTTCGGTATATCAACGGGATGAGATGGCGAATGATGTGCTGTCGCGAAACTATAGGAAACACCCATGAGAGAGACTGTAGGAAAGTCTCACATAACGAAATAGCGCGCTGCATTCCTGGTAGGTAGGATTTCATTATCTCGAGGTAGTGTTTTTTAGGGATCCCCAAGGGAGTGAAAGGGAAAACCCGATCAAGGTTGCTGATCCGAGGGTCCAGGTAATCAACCTCGATTTCATGTGTCTCGGTCGATGGTGACGAAGTATCAGGGTCAGACTGTGTGGTCATTGTTGGCTATGCGCTCTAGAAGAGTGAATAAGACAAACCAGCAATAAAGTCTAAGGCTCGAGTAAGTGCCTTGGCGTGTCATAGGCAAAATGTCTAATCCGCACCTCAGAACCTCCGGAAGGTCCGAAGAAACAAACAGCATCAGTTTGTGGATCGCCATCAAGGTGCAAGGAGCCTAGGGCATTTATCAGACTATGTGTCGGCATAGATGTGGCGTCGACGCTGCTCCCGCTATCAGCCTCTTCGGTTGTCCATATTTTGGTCAGCAATGGGTGTGGCTGAGTGGAAGTATTGACCTGCAGGATTGCAAGAGCGTCCTCGAGTGAGCGCATTCGTTCTTCGAGCTTGGCGGCCTTTTGACGTAGATATTCTTCAGCAACACCGACGAAGCTGACGGAGTGAATGCCATTTT